TTAGTTCATGTATATGTATTATAATATACATGTAAAATCCTTTATACATTCATCTTTTTTTCATATTTTATATTCTTTTTGTATTTTATATTCTTTTCATATTTTATATTCTTTTTGCATTTTTTAATGAATCAAAAATTCAAAATTACTTTTATTAATTATGATGGAAAAACAGCATAATAGATATGACAATCAACTAATGAAACATAACAGTCAATTAATAAACTTATTCTTGTAGATTCTTATCCAAATTTATCTCACTCACCCACTCCTAATAATGAAATATTAATATTATCACGCATTTTTATTTCTAATAATCAAGTATCAGATTTATCAAATACTTTAACTTCTAATAATCAAGCATCAAATTTATTAAATATCTCTTTAAAGAAAATTAATTCATCTATAAATAAAAAAAGTTAGGTACAATTATATTTTAAGAAAAATAAAATTACAAAAAAAGTTATTTATCAATTAACTATCAAAAATCCACAAAATGGAGAAAATATTTCTTATCTAATTTCTTATGATCTTACAACTTCAACAACAAATTTGGCAACATATCTAAGAATAAAGTATCAAATATATTCTCCTATTAATTTAGTAATTTCAAATAATTTAAAACAAAAAACAATTAAATAAATATTTGAATCTACAAATCTCTTTTCACATTTTAAATAAGAAAAAATACTTTTTTGACTTATTACTTAGATTATTAATAATATGCAACCAGTTCACATAATTACATAAAAAGTTTCAAGAACTGATTCATGAATGTGAGTTTCATTTTGAATTTTTCTATAATAATATAATAAAAAATAAGATTAGATAATCAGTTTCTTATATTAAAACATAATTAAATATATTAATAGATAAAATAATGATAAGATTTACTTTTGCTACTGATTTTTAAATAGCATATTATACTCTATATATTAGAATAATAATATATTAGATTTCTGCAAATTTTATATCATATCAAGTATTTTTGATAATTAAAAATCTTTCATATTCTTATATAAGTGATTATATTGAAGATGCTTTCTAAAATTTATTTAAGTAATGAGAAATATCACAAAAAGTTTTTATTGATATAATAGATAATGCTTCTAATATAAAAAGAATAATATAATAACTTGAATATAATTATATAGGATGTACAGTCCATATTTTTCAGCTTGCAATTAATAATAAACTTGAATTAATAAATGATAGATTAGTAAAAAAAGCAAAGAACTTAAATAATTTTCTTGTAAATTATGATAAATACTGTGATAGATTCAGAAAAGTACAAAAAAAATTATAAATCAGATAAATTTTCAAATCTCATAATGCAAATCTCTTGATTCTATTAGTAGTAATAGTAAAACTTGATAGAACTTAATATTAGTTTTATTAGAATGACTTTTATTACTTCATCAAGCAATTTATAAATATCAATTACAATTTTCATATAATTTTGATTATCAAGTACAAGCAGATACTAATATTTTAAAAAACTTATTATTATCAGATGATGAGTGAAAATGTTTGAATGAATTAGTAATTTTACTGAAGTTATTTATTATCATAACTATACTCTTAGATGGAAGTTAATATCTAACACTCTCACAAATATTTCTTACTTTTTTATCACTTAGATATAATAGATTCAATACTTATCTATTTGGATATTTGTATAATTTTAGAAAAAATTCATGAATCATTAATAAGAAGATGAGAGAATTCAAATATTTTTGATTATATTATATCATTTTTGAATCTGAAATTTAAAAATCTAGTATTTATATCAGAAGAAAAAATTCAACAAATTATTAAAAAACTAAAAAAAAATATTATAAAAAGTATACTAACTATTTTTGAATTCTCCAATAATTTAGTTCAGATTTCTTATTTGCAAGATCAATCTCTTATGTTATTATTTTATAATGATTTCAATACTATAATAATTACTATTAAAATACCTATTAAATCAGAACTTTATATTTATCAGAACATGCTAGTATTATCAAAATATGAAGTATTTCATCTATTATATATAATAAATAATTTGTATAAGTAATAAAATGATCACAAGACAACACTATTATTACTTATCAAACAAGCAAGAATTTACCTTGCAATTCTAGCTTCTTCAGTCCTTGCTAAGCATCTTTTTAGTAATGCTGATAATATATTAATAGATAAAAAAAATCAGCTTGATCCTACAAACATACATAATATTCTTTTTCTTAAGAAAAATTCAGCTTTCATGAATATATTTCTGGAATTATTACAAGAAAAGAGCTAATATTAATATGTATGTTAGATAATGATAATGCATATATATAATATTAATATATATTAACTCTATAATATAAATAAAATATTTAAATAAGAAAATTTATGTGATTATCAACTTGAGTTAGCTAACTGAAGCAAAAAATTACAATTTAGTTACGCTAGTATTTTGTTATTAGCTTGAAATACTAATTATTACCATTTTAAAATAATTGCATATGCATAATCTTAAAATGGTAATAATATTATTATTTGGAATTGATCTGTTTTCTAAATTTATATTTTAAATATTATATTTAATAAAATACAAATTCACAAAGATTAAAAAATAATATCTGAAATAACTTGAAATATATAAAGATTTTACTATATTATTTAAAGAAGTTATTAACAAGCTAATAAAAAAATTATCATAATATACATATTAAAGTTTGAGATTGATAATATAACTAATAATATAACTGATATAAGAGATCAAAAAAGATATTATAAATATACTTTGAAATGAATTTATACAATTCAAAGCAAATTATCATTATAATTTCTATATTATCTCTTTTTTATTCAGTTAAATCTTGAAGTACTGGCTAAGAATAACAATTAGCATTTGTTTAAATGGATAAGGAATTTTAAATCTTGCATATATTTTGATTCATATTTGACTGAATAAATATATTTTAATAATCATAAAAAAAATTTTGTTAATTAAAAAAATACTATTATCTATACTATATCATGAAACAGCTTTTCCTAATTTTCTTTCACATGTTTGTAATGTACTAACCCCTTGAGATAAAACTTTGTAAATGGTTCTTGCCTGGAAAATCACTTTTTATAGCAAGAATTTGTGAACCAAAGAATAATCTAGCAAAAATAGGCAAAATGAACGCCGATTTCGAAGATGTTTCACTTTACAGGGAGACATTAGTTTTTCTTGATCTTTGCACTGCTCTGTTCTTAGAAACCTTAACAATAATTTTGTTTTAGAGAACTTTGTGCGTTTTGGCTAATCGATTTTTTAAATCGATCGACATAATATGCTTAATTTTTACGTGTGACAAATCGTGTGATTGTTAAATATGTTGTGTATGAGGAACCATTATTTAAGAACTCACCTGATTAATTGATTCCTGTGATTCCTCCCGGAACGACCCTATTGGATAACAACGCTTAAATATTTGATCCACAGAATCGATGAATAAACTCTTTCATTCTACTTTATGGTTGGTTGTTTACTTATTTTATTTGCGTAATTCAGTTTTCTCTGTATAACTAACAACTGCAGCCTTTGATGAGAGCAATAAGTCCTTCTCTCATTTCACTCGTCTTGTTTATTTACATTTTTTGACCAATTAACATTTTCCTTTAGTCTATGAATGTCATTTATTATATATCTAACCAACTTTCAATTTACCAATAAAGAACTTTTCGCGTACTAATTAAATAACAGTTTCATTTGTATAATAATTGTGAAAAAATATCGATATCTTCTTTCACCATCATCGTCATCGTTATCAACATCATCTTCCGTAGATGGGGAACCTGCCAAAAAATATTGCTGTATTTAAAGGTGAAGACAACAACGAAGAGGATGAAGATAACGTTGATAATGATATCGATGATGGTATAGACACTTTACAAAAATATAAAAGTAGATTTTTATTATTAAATTAATATTAAGAAAGACACAAAACATAAAAGTATAATAATCATACGATATATATATATATACACACACATTGCTACTACATAAGTACGTATCATCATTTTTTTTGTTATTCTATCCTTACACCTGCAAATCCTCATTATTAATCTTTTACTATATCACACTTTCTCTACCACTCTTCTACTTGATATAAATGATGAAAAAAACAAATGATAGAATAGACATATGTAAATAGATACCTTTCCTCAAATATTATTATTATTATTATTATTACTTTTTTGCCATCGCCACTTCTTCCCACCATAAGGATAGAAAAAGGATATCGATGTGAATATATATATATATATATATACAAATAATATTAGAAAAAAAAAGGGGGTCAACATAAAAATAAAGAATATCGAAAATTTATTTCGACAAGTCGATAACTATATCTTCTTACTCTGGGAAGTCTTTGCAATATGGGGTGTATATGAGAGAGCGTTCTTGTGTATGTGCGTAAGTGCAAAGATATGTGGATAAAAATAATTGGATAGAAATGTTCAATATATATATTGAATGAGATATAGTGGTAAGACGACATGTATATCAAATATTGATGAGGGAGTCATCGATAGCAAGAGAACACACAAGAAAAGAAAGCTATGAATTATAAAGAAACCAAAGCGCATAGTCAAAAGATTTTTTCAATAATCCGTCATGTTCACTATTCATCGTTTGAAACTTAATGCTAGAAGGTTCGTGTTGTTTTCTATTATTTGAAGAAATTCATTAGGTAAAAAAAGATATGAGAGATCAGGTATAATCATCAAACATCGTCGAATCTTTTTTTTTTGTTTTAAAAACGGCCTACCATTTCCACTAATTTTTTTCATTACTATCTTCATTACTTTCACTTTCGTTTTCATTGCTCTCACTTTCACTCTCATTCTCTTCACTCTCACTTTCTTCGCTATTACTCTCTTCACATTCATCCTTCTCCAAACCCTCAAAATTCCATTGATGCCATTGCTCTCTAAAATCAGCATGTTGAATAAATTGAAACTGACCCAGTTCAGGAAACGACACTTCCAACCACGGCACAACATCGGAACAAGGCATTATTTTTCTATTATTATACCAGAACTTTATAGGCTGAATTATTTTTTGTTTTGCCAACATAAATTCCCTATAATAAAATACATGTAGTCGCTCAAGCACATTATGAAGAATAAGTCGACGTAATGTGCTTGCTTGAGATTTGAACGAGGGCATTACATGGTTTACAAGATCGGTTATTTCACAGTATCTAATTATTAGAGTTTTAAGATTTTTTTGGGATTCTATTAGTGTGGTAACGTTTTTCACCTCGTAGCTGGAGAGGTACCAACTCGTTGGAGCAATTGGTTTGTTGCGGCCTCTTCGGTGGAAAAAGGAAACATCTATATCTTCCTGTTGTCATTGAATATTAACAATATTAATACGCCGGTAAGCAAACATGTTTCTCTCAAATTATTTGCGTCAACTAAAGGAATATTAAGAATACTCCTTTTGAAATGGAAATGCACATTCTATGCATCCACCCACACATGCACACGTACACATTTGGAAAGAAAAAAACTTACCAAATCTTTGCATGCTATCGACAAACAGAGAAGAACTCTATCCAAGTAAAACGGAGAATCCAAAATCACTTTTCTGACGCTGGAGAAAAATTCAGCGAATTCAGGCTCTGCAATTATCAAATAATCCTCATCGTGATCAACTCGTTCCCCGCAACATTGCAGAGTATTAATAACCGCAGAATTACGTTTAAATATGCGTAATAGTATACGCGTCACTGCTGGGGTTAACAACTTTACTCGTTTCTTCAACGAAAGTCGGGCGAATTGTTGTTCACTATGCACGTGGACAAGTTTATTATTATAGAATCTTGAATTGTCATCGTCATAGTCGAATAAACTGTCGTCGCTTGAATCTTCTGAATTCAGGTATTCGTATCGTGGTCGTCGTTGAACTCTACGTAGACACCACTCCTCTACTGAATGTAACATCAATGAGAAATCCAAATGGCGCAAATACGAAGGATAATTGAAGTGTGAATGTAATTTATTATCATCATCGTTACTGTAGTTGTCTTTATCGCTATCTTCATTATTATAGTTGGGGAGGATAAAATCATGAGATAATAAATTCATCCGTTCCGTATCATTCAAATGATAAAAATACGCATCGATAAGTTTTGGATTGGGTGGTATCGGACTATAACTTTCCCGTAGTTGAAAGAAAGTTCTACGCCATAGAAGTGGAATAGCAACTTCACACCATTGACGATTCACCAACGCACACGAGAGCAAGTCTCGGCGTTCTCTCACTACATGTTTACGGGATTTGCCTGGGTCTTTATCAAATTGACTAAATATCTCCCGTAGAATGTCACTAGATAGTTTCTCTGACATTTCTCACTTCAGCTTCTTTGTAAATGTGAAATTATTGGGGGCAAAGCCAATTGAAACTAACTTTTATTGTGGATCTTGCTGCGATTTTGTGGTAGGGAACTTTTAGATTCTTTGAATTTGCAACGCGACTTTTTTCAATTTCTAAGGTTTTTCCGTTGACGCGTGTAAGGAAAGTAATACTTTACTCGCTACACCCTTGTAAATAACAAAAATTATAAATTGTAGAAAAAATGTGCGAAAAAAGGGTGGCTTGTACACAGCCAACTGATTGTAAGATTACTATGCATAATTACGGCAGCAATATGCATCCAATCTCAAATTTTTAATTCGAGGCGACAATTTTAGCAAAGAAGAAAACCGGGTATATCTGGTTGCTTGCCGAATTTAATCAGCTTTTACCAAAGCAAGTCTAAATAAAATTAATGTTGGTTTAATCCGTTTAATAAATGGCTTTCCAAATTTAGATAACTAAAACTTCGTCAAATGGGGCTTTTAGGAAGATCTAGCAAGTTGTGGTCGGATTTTTCATTTCAATATCCAACGACGTACGTATATGCCACGAAAGAGAAATTAGGTCGCAGCGCATTCGTCAATTAGTCAACATGCGTGGTTTGCTTCGCGGGAAAGATTAACTTATGTTGTACTAGACAAAACGCGCATTTCATCTTAATGATTATGAGAAACTTGACCCTGAAAATTTAATAGAAGCGCTTTTAGATTAATTGGTGTCCAAGAGAACTTGTTAGTTAGGATCTACTGACTTCGCGAAAAAGAATAGCAACGTCAAAAGAATCAGCAAAAAATTTGATTTGATCGTTACAGAAGCATTAATTGACCTAATTCCCAAATTTTTAGGCGATTGCTCAAAAGTCGATTTGATGCATACACCCAATGAATAGCGCAGCAAATTAATTTGTTCAGAAAATGATGTTAAATTTTTGCTCATATATCAGAATGGAATCATGCATTAATCATCAAATCTAATGGTTGTGTCGATCTTTCTAAAATTTCCAAACTTGTTATAAAGCAAGATAGTATCACGTGATAAATACCAATTCCCTTTTTAGATTTAGATTTTCTTGTTATTGAAAAGTATTTTTGTATTATTTTTATAATATAAAAAATAATATTTTTTATTTATCTTTTTAATATTTAATATGATCTGATATAAAAAGATTAGTATATCAGATAAATATTAATAAATTATTTTTTTTAAAATAAAATTTTAATTTTATCTTATTTAATTAAATTATTAGATATTGAAGGTTATTTAAATATAAAAATTTTTATTATAT